AACCAAAAGGTTCAAATCAAGATCCATGTATCAAACAATCCACAAATCCAAGATCTCAATGAAAAACAATTTCTGCCCAATTTTTTTTTTTGCTTGATTTGATACCAAAAAAGCCACGAAAGTGGCTGTAAATGATTGTTTAGGGGGGTTAACACCCTTCCAAACTATTTCCCCCCAAGTTTTGATGGTAAAAAATCACCATTTTATCCATCCCGAGGGGCACAATTGAAAAAAAAAGGCAGAAATTATGCGGGCATATGCGATAGATGTGCTATGTGGCTCTAATGCGGCGCATAGCTCCAAACCGCATATGCGGTCTTTTTTGATGCGGTGTTCACCGCATACTGATGATGCGGCCACCTATGCGGCGATGCGGCTGCATTTTAAAACACTAATTGAAAGTTTTGATTCACCAGCCATTCATTATAGAATCGAGGTACTAACAAAGATAGAGTGAAGGAGGTAAAAAATAAAGAATATGCACCTATTGCTCTAGGTAATCTATTATTGACAAGTTCTTCCCAACTTTTTTCGCTGTAATGTAATAAAAGATTCTAGATTCATAATCTCTCTCAAGCAAGAGAAAGAAAGATTATTCATGAATATCAACAATATGTTCCCTATGGTGATTGGGTTCATGAATTATGGTCAACAAGCAGTGTGAGCTGCAAGATATATTGGTCAAAGTTTCGTGATTGCCTTATCTCACACGAATCATTTACCTGTAACCATTCAGTATCCTTGTGAAAAATCGATCACATCAGAGCATTCCGGGGGCAAATCCACTTTGTGTTTGATAAATGCATTGCTTGTGAAGTATGCGATCATGTATGCCCGATAGATCTCCTCGTTTTTTATTGGAGATTCGAAACAGATATTAGAAAAAAAACGATTGCTTAATTATATGATGTATCAAAAATAGAATAGACAAAATAAAAGTGCAAAACTGGAAGCACAAAGGATACGTATGGGAAGAGTGAAAAGCGTTCCCTTCTCACTTAATATGTGTGTGTGTATCTATGTATGTAGATTGGAGAGAGGGAGAGATGCCAAAGGACTGTGAGCATGTAAGTAGACAGGAGGCCACCCAGGCTTCTGGGCGGCCAAGGTGGAATAATAGGGGTGGGAGGTGTCCATAAAAACAATTCTATGTCCAAATTGTGGATAAAAATTGCATATTGAGACATTTTTAATACATTTTTTATGTTCAATCAATCCAAGCTCCAAAGACAAACCAAAGTATTTGAGATTTGGACAATTAGTTAATAACCCATTAAGAAAAATAGGAAAATATAATCCAACATTCAAATTCAGTACTAGACATAGATATTCAAAAAAAAATATTCAGTACTTGACATAGCACATAGTCCATACTCCATAACTCCATCCATACCCTCCTTAGTCCACACCATTACCATGATTGTCATCCCAGTTCATAGTCCATTATCCACAACATTGTTCAAAAAAAGGGACCACCCAGTGCCTAGACGGTCCAGAAGGCCTGGGCGCATCGCGGCCAAACTGGGCGGTGGTCCCTAGGTGGCCGCCGAGGGCCTGTGCCCCTCCCAGAAGCGAAAAAGTAATTTTCTTTTTCTTTTTTGGTTTCTTTCAATATATAAAAGTTTAGAAAGATGGGTTTTAGGTTCATTTGAAACGTAAACCCCAAGAAACCCTTTTAGAGAGAAAGAAACCTCCAAAAAACTACATTTCATTAGGTCTAATCGTCGAAGTGTTTCTCAAAGTTTGGAGTTCGAGCAACCAAAGTAAGTGTATTTTTTAGATTGCTTGTTTTATTTTGAGATGTCTTCTTCAGTAGTTAGTCGGAGTGGAGATCCGGGTTGGAAATATCGATACAACCCGAATTCCAATGACAAAATTTGCGTTAGATGCAATTTTTGTGAAAATGATACAAAATGAGGCATAAACCGGTTTAAAAAACATCTTGCCGGTAATAAGGGAGATGTTGCCCCTTGTAAAAATGTTTCTGAAGCTATCAGAGAGGAGATTAAGCAATTTATAAGTTATGTAAAACAAAAACAAGAACAAAATCCTTATCATAGATCTATTTCTGCTACTCTTAGAAAAAGTTATCCGGGTTGGAAGTATGGGTACAACCCAAAACCAAATGATAAAAATTGTATAAGATGTAATTTTTGTGAAAAAGATACCAATGGGGGTATTAGCCGATTCAAAAAACACATTGTTGGTGTTAGAGCTAATGTTGCTTCTTGTACAATGGTTCCTGAAGCAATTCGGGATGAGATTAGACATCTTCTGAATTTTGAAGAATCAGAAAAGGACAAAAATAAGCCTTGTTCTATGGAAATATCTTCTTCAGGTTCTAGACGCAGTGGTGATTCTCGTTGGAGGTATGGTTATAACCCGAATCCAAATGATAAAAATCGTATTAAATGTAATTATTGTGGAAAGGATACTAATGGGGGCATTTACCGGTTTAAAAAACGCCTTGCCGGTATTAAAGGGGATGTTGCCCCTTGTAAAAATGTTCCTGAGGTTACCAAGGAGGAAATTATATGATATTTGAGTTCGGAGAAGCACAAAGAAAATGGTAGAGTAGCCAAGACTCCTAGGGCCTCATCTGCACACACTAGTAAGAGGAAGGTAGAAGAAGAGGAGGAGGAAGAGGCAGATTCAATAGAAACATAGGAGGACGAGCGTTATATTAAAAAGGGAGATGACTCTGATGATGATGGCCTCGACTTTGATGCATATGATGAGGCTTGCCCTATTGATATTCTTTCTGATGATGATGGTGATGATGATGATCATGACGACGATTGAAAACTCTTGCCTCTTGGTGCTGAGTGTTGAGTATGTTGACTGTTGTGTTGAGTCATGAGTGTTGACTTTTGTTATACTGTATATTTTATAAATTTCTATTGGGTTGAGTGTTGACTTTTATATCCTACCTACACTTTTAGGGTTTTACTGTTTATTGTTTTAAATATATGGATTATCAAAATTATCTTCTCAACGTTTATCTTTTTTTTTCTTCAACTTGGAATATGGTATTAAATTGGAAATTTGGTATGGTTTTTACTTTTTCTCAAATTTCAAATGGCAGCTGCTCAGGTTCTAGGCGCCCGCCTAAGCGCTAGGTGACCTGGACCCCCCAAGCAACCTAGGACCGGCCTAGCACTTTTTGATACATTGCTCCACAATCCACACACCTAAGAGGAGGAAAAAAAGGAAAGAATTAACTGATCGATCTAAAATAAATGCAAACTAGCAAATCTAAAACTAACGAGTCTATGGCATAATGAGTCTAAGGCGAAGATACATGCATTCGCTCGCCACCAACCAACATAGATTCATGTGTCCTTGACTCAATCCGGTATTCCTAGGATTGTCCCTTCCTTCCATCGTGCTGCTATTCACAAGCGTTGTTCAGGCTCAGTTGGTCCGGTTCTCTTTGTAATTGTGTACCCTATAAGCCGACTAGCACCATTCTTTGCTTCGCCAGACGGCTAATGCACTTGGTCGACTTGACTTAGTGACGATAGGAGAACACCCTTGACTAGCTTGACCCAACAGCTGGGATGAAAACCCTTCCTTCTTCCCTTCTTGCCTTTCGGACTAATGACTGACACCTTTCGTAATCCGTAATTAGCTGATATCCTTGCTTCGCAATAAGGCTAAAGAAGAAAAAGATGAATTAGATGGTAAAGCACGTATAGATTCACAATTATGGGAAATGCTATTCTGGAATTTGTTAAAATGGTGTATTGCAGCAATTAGATCAAGGTCATTGATTGATGTCTTGGACCTATTGGTGATCATGGGATCAAACTCCTTCCATTTGAAGCTTCCTCATGGTCTTCTGCAAGGGGTGCTTGTGATTTAATTAAGGAAGATGTCTTGAATGATAACTTGCAAAGATGAATGTGAGATGAGTTCCATATTATTGGATGCTTTGAAAAATTAGATGGGTGGTAATTAACAAAAAAAGGAAAAAGATGGGTGGTGACTTTCAAAGTAACATTTGGACAGGCGAAGCAGAGCAGTGGTTGGTCTAGCATTTCTTTCAGTTCACCAATTTAGATGGTAAGATGGTTGACATTGTGCTGCTATCAAATTAGAAACCATTGCTGACCCTAATAACTTTGGCTCGTTGCCTTAGCAAGGGGCCTTGGGGGTACAAGATATTTTCCTTTTTGTTGGCTCTCAAGTAACTTGGTGTAATCATAAATTTATAACAATCAAACGAAGCACAAATTAGTACTTGATAAGTCAAGAAAATGGAAAGAGTTTCCGAAAAAATGGCAAAGTTGATGTTTCAGCCATGACGTGAAAAAGGAAGCCTGCTATCCTCTCTATATTTTTGTATGACTGTATCTATAATAGTAACAATTATAGTGGTCCTTGTGTGAAGGTTCTGACTGGTGATCTGAATCCTACTTTGTATGATCTAGCTGCTAACTTTGGACCACCAGATTTCATTAAGGCTGCTGATTTATTCCGATAGTTATCTGTTCTGACTAAATTACACCCTTTTTTGCTTCGGCTTCACACTGATATTTTCAAATCTCAAATGGTAATGGAACATACTACAAATAGCAGAACAATATCATACGTCATGTCATCTGCACTCTTTGTACTTAATTAAGGATGGAACTGTTCTTTGACTTTAGCGGACAATGGTGGACTTGAGCAAAGAAAAGGTTCTTCTACGCGTTCTATTACTGGAGATGACATGTAGTGTGCTTTGCTATTCACTCCTTGAAATGTGTCTATTTTAATGCATTTGAGATTATGAATTACGTACCAAAACATATATTGCTGAATGTATGACAATTCCAAGAAAAATAGTACTTTCTATAATACCGTCCGACGTGCATCTTCATAGCCTGCCTAAATAGGTTGGTGGTTTGGGACTCAGTGGACCATATAATGTGCATAATGGAAATAAAGACTTGGGTTAAAAAGTTGTTCCTTTGTCACTTATTGTATTGGTCTGTTTCTTGCACTTCCTTTGTTAGGTATACAATGGATGGATCCCGATTCATTGATCAGTTGGAAGCAATCAAATTCATCTGCAAGGATTTCTGGCAGAGCCTCTTCAAGAAACAAATTGACAATTTGAAGACCAATCATAGAGTGAGCCATTATTTTACATTTTTAAGAAACAAAAGCATTAAGAAAGAAAAGCTTCTGATTTCCTTACTGAGAAAAAGCCTTTGTTATTGGTTTGTGTAGGGGACTTTTGTCTTGCAAGATAACCAGTTCAAGTGGCTAACACGCATGTCTGTTGACCATACCCTGCCAAAACCACAACCTGACTCTCTGGCATCGGCTGCAGCGGACAATAAGACAGCACAGGCAGCTAGCATGCATCTCTACTTTCCTTGTGGGATCATAAGGGGAGCCCTCACCAATTTGGGAGTGCCATGTGCAGTTTCAGCAGATCTATCAAATCTTCCAGCTTGTGAGTTGATTATTCCTTATCAGCAAAGTATATTGTGTTGCAATAGGTTATGGAAAACCATTTTCCATATTTCATTTGGATCATTTCTGTCCAATGAAATGTTTTGAGAGAGAGAGAGAGCCGACCAGGGCATGCTCCCAGTGATGGCTCCCACTTTCACTCCATAACCACCCATTGCATTTGGACAGTGGTGAACCCAGTGGAGTATAATCTTTTGATAGTCAACTGGATTATTATGCTACATTGATGACTTGCAGCCTCATTCTCTGCCTTTAATCGATTCCAATTTCGCTTATGGCCTTTCCTGTATGTAATATTAGGTTCATTTGTTGTTCGCATCAAAGCATGAAGGAATTTTTAGCGTGGCACAGAACACAATGTGGTCTGTTGGTCTGGGGGAGGCTTGGGGTGAATTGTTTCTTATTGGGGATATGTAATTTGTGTTAATTGGGTGCCTTTTTTACTTGGATGGTTTGAGAGAGCAGGTTTGGGAGCATTTGTGGCTTGCTCGGTTCACAAAGCAGCAATGATGAATGGCAAGTTTGTATTGTGTAAGCCTTGAACTATGAATAATCTTTTCAGTGCAAGGAATCCATGGAACTAGAAAGTAGTGATTTATCCATGAATTTTCTTGAATTTTCTTGTCAAGGACACTGATAAAAAGATAGGAACAAACAAGAGATTGGGACCTTATCTTTTATAATCAATTGTGGAACTTAGGTTGAGCTCAGATTGAAAAATGGTGCAAATGTAAGAGAATTAGGAGTCAGGGGCTCCACCCCGGGTCTCTTTTCTTGTTAATCACTCTTACTATACTAGGGACCTCGAGTTGATATTGGACATCCCTCTCTAAGGTCGTATGAACATGCCTCATCTTTTTGAAGTATAGCGAACCAAAACCAGAAAATAAAATGAGGAGACAAAATCGAATTATAGAAGCATAAGACGATAAGGAAACTTATTTGAATGTATATACCAAAATGCATAGAAAGGGAAACATGAGAATTCCACCTAAAAATTCATTTTGGAAAAGTATGATAACTTGAAAATTGATGCGTAACCATTTGTCTTTCCAAATCAAAGATTTGCCCAGGCATTCGCAATCTTAGACATTGGAACATAGCTAGGGTTGGCAAAAGGCAGGGCTGAGAAGGGCCAGCCCCTTCCCTTTGCCAGAGGGCCAAGGGGACCTCTGCTCATGCCTGGCCTTGGCGCCTTGTTCCAGGCAAGCTGGGCGGTTCGGGCCTACTAGACGCAAAGATTAAAAAAAAGAAGGAAGAAACATGTCTTGTCTAGGCTGGCCTGTGGCCCTGTCCCGTTTGAGCCTCTACGATAACTTTTAGCCTAGGCCCTACGTTTTTTGGTCCGGGCCTGTGCTTTGCCAGCCACATGGGCAAACCTCTTGTGGCAAGAGGTACCGAGAACATAAATAACACATTGAACCATCGTGTGGCTGCCTATTGTCAACTCAACTTCAAGACCTTGGAGGCTAAACACTCTTATCATGGGTAGCTTAATACCAAGGCAAATATTTGGTTTGATCAAATTCTAGTCTTACTTTTAGATTGGTGGCACTGTCTTACAAACGAGATTCTTTCCCTCCCAATCTTTTGAAACTCTAGGTCTTCTTTGAAATCATCCAACTCTTGCTTTCAAAGAACAATGACAAGATGGTAAATTTCAATGTATGGCGATATTTCTTTCACGGGAATTGTCAAGACAAGGAGGAACCCAATTCTAGTGCCATTTGGGATCACGATATTCAAGTGGTGGTGACAAAGACCGAAGACCTCGTGATTCCTTCTAGAAGATTGAAAAGGATCACATGTATCTGGCAACTTATCTCACTCTCTGCTTGTGCAAATTTGCACTCCCAGGGTCAAGAAGTAATGTCATTCGTTCTGAATGTTTCTTTGTAGCTTGCAAGCTCACCCAAGGGTGTCAGTATGCCTTAGCTCAGTCAGTCTTTTGCATCATATACCATGGTCTAGGGGCAATTGCCCATGGTAAGGCAATGTCTAGTGATAGGAAAAGTGAATCTTTTGGTGAGGAGGTTCTTCCTGGTTGCTTTACAACAGCCTTCTATGTTCACTCTATTTTTGGCTAGCTCTCAACATACTTTCCAAAGAAAGATTCTCCTTATGCACCTGGATCATACAAGATCAATGAAGACTTCTCAGGGTATGCTTGCCCTCTAATGATGAGAATCGCCAGAATGAAGACCATATTCAGAGGACCAAGCGAGACATGTTGATTCCTTGCTGATAGTTTTTTCTTCTCTTGTGGGAGCCTCTCCTTGCAGGTGGCCCCACTGACTGTGTTTATACCGATGCCTTTGGCGAGGTCTTTGACAGGCACACCACTGAGACCTACGAAGCCATGTATCTTCTAAGTGTTAGGGGATGCATTCTGCCTTATAGGGGTGTTGGGGAAAAGAAGCTTGAGGGCTATTTTCCTCATAGATCTGCACGCTAACATGGTTTGGATCAAGGATGCTCATTCTCAGTGCTCTTTGAGAAGAGATATGGGAAGGGGTCTTTGCAAGATCCTCATGTGCAAAGCGTGAATCCTGAACAGATAGTAATTTGCGAATGGCATGGGAAACCTGTCTTGCCCTTACTGGTTTGAGCAAGTTCGTCATCCCTCACTATGGTCGTGTCGGCCATACTACTGAAGGTTATTGGCGGTGGTGGAACACCACTAACCGTTCTTACTGGAAGACGACACATGAATGGAAGGCCATCAACTGTGCCAAAAATGATACAAGGCATGGGAAACATTTCACTCCTCCCATCTTTTTCAAAATTTGTGAGCTTGATTACCCACTAAACTGGAAAGAGCTCGGTATGCCTCGATCATTGGCTATAGATCATACTAGCATTCAATATCATTCTCTTGAGGGTAAAACCAGGTCTCTTTTTGATGATCTTTGCTCTATCTTAAAATGGACGAAGGGTCATGCTGTCTCTGGTCGTGAGGGTCGACCCATACAAGATATCAATGCTTTAATAGGGAGTGGGTCACACTCAGCTCCAGCTACCAAAGCTCGTTATGGTCAATGAACCAAGGGTGCCTCTTTACAGTCAGGGGATAAGGCAACTCCAGAGAAAGGAACAAAGAAGAAGAATAAGGCCTCAGAGAGCGCTGAACCTAGTACCACTACAAAACCTAAGGTTCGTCGAAAGAGCACCCGACTGAGTACGAGGGCTTTATCAAGCTCATATGCATCTCTTTCGATGGAACCTGTCTTAGTGAAGTAACTGATTTACCTCCCAGGCCAAAGAAACATGCAAAGAAGAAGGCTTCCCCTAACCCAACTCTGCCATTAGAGGTAGTACCTCCCACGCAAGAGACAGTCACTACAGCTCCCGAAGTTATCATAGCTCAACCAGGTTCATCTGGTCAAACTTCTTTCATTATGAGATGTAGTTCAGAGGGCACTCTTACACCCATGATGGAGACAGTTCACCCGATCATAGAGGCTCTTGGTGATAAAGATCCAACTGAGCCTGAGATGGTACAACCTTCATCTTCCTCACCACTAGGTCATGCAGACTTTTCTTGTACTATTGCAGAAGAGACCAGAAGACTTGATGATGATACTGGGGCAATCAGTGTGACCCTAGCCTCAAGGAATATCAACTTCAGCTATTTCAGAGGTCGAGCCTAGACCTGAGCCAGAAGTTCCATTGGGTGAGACTTTGGAACTTGTGGTTGTACTAACTCCAGAAGTGCCCACTTCAGCGGCTTCAGATGTAGAGCCTTAATCCAATCCAGATGCTCCTTCTAGTGAGACCTTGGCTCTTGTTCCTCATGAACCAGTCATCATTGCTGAAATTCCACACCTCGCTATGGCTAGCTCTTATATGCCTTCTTCGGTATCAAGCACCCTATCGAATAGGAAGGCTTCTTTGGCAAAAACGTTTTTACGGGTAAGTCTTCATGGGTTAAAGGGATGTTCCCTCTCCGATCTCAAAGTTGAGATTATCGCAGTTAGGGACTGTGCTACTACTTTGAGGGGTGTCAGTTTTGCAAAGGAGACCTTTAATCGATTAGAAAGCCTTTTGAATGACCTTGAACAGTAGAGAGTCGAGGCCTTGCAAAGTGAATCCAATGTTCAGGAATTGTGCGGAACCCAGTTGACTTCCTTGGAAGATTCCCTAGTTCAACATCAGAACCTAATGGTAGACTACAATGAGAAGAAGGCTTCTCTACTTGCTTATCAGTATAGCTTCAAGAGTGAAGACACAACATGTCTTGCAAAGATGAAAGCTACAAAAGAAGAAATAACCAGGCTGCACGCTTATCACAGCAAATTGAAGAGCCAGCTGGATCAGAGGCGAGCAGAGGCCCAAAGCAAATTCCAAGAGTTGGAGAAGCTGAACTTTGAGATAGCATCGACCATCATTTGGTCAAATCAAATCACGAAAGCAATCTCCACCCTCAGAGAATAGATGAAGGCTGCTTCAGAGCATTCAAAAACATTGAAGACAAGGATTCATGAAGCCATTGACAATTTCTAGGGGTTCATGAACTTCATAATCTTATTTTTATTCATCTTCTTCTTCTCATTCCTTTTTTGGATTTTGATGTCTATAATGCTCGCTTCTTTCATCTTTGTTTGCTTCTTCTACTTAATAGTTTGCTTCTTTCTTTCATCTCTTTCCTAACTGCCCTTGTCTCCTCCAAAAAGTGGGTAAGGGATGAATTTGTAGATTGCTTCACATGGGATCATGATTTGATCTCCATCGTGTATGACTTGAATTCCCTTTCGAGTTTTCATCCAAGTCCTTGGGGCATGTGCCATTCCTGGTTTTCACAAAAACCTTGCATTTTTTTTGTGGCGCTTTTTCTCATGGCTTTTACACCATGTCTGCTAATTTACATTTTTACTTATGGTTCCCTTGCGGGTTTTCACCATGCCCATTTTTCTTTCCTTTATTTTGACATATTTCTCTCATAATAGCTAATGATACTATTATGCCCATCATTTTTTTTCATGTTCTTTTCTTTTCTTTGACTCTTTTTATCCATTACGCCCCCGCCATGTAAGTCTTTTCATAGAGGCACTTTTAAGGTCATGTCGTTGTGACCACTAGGAGGCGTGTTTATGCTCATGCCACCGTGACCGTCGAGTTGGTGTGTTTTAAGGTCATCAACCAAGACCTAATGGAGGCCAATTTAGGGTCATGCCTTCGAGAACGTAAGGTTGGTGTGTTTTAAGGTCATCCTCCAAGACCCTATGGAGGCAATTTTAAGGTCGTGCCTTGGAGACTGTAGGTGACACAGTTTAACGTCATGCCACTAAGATGTGTGTTATAGTTTAGGGTCATATAGCTGGACTGGTGCCATGCAGCTTAGGGTCGTGCGGCCTGGACCGTGGTCTATGAGTAATAGTTTTTCAAGTATCTCCCATTAATTGGGGACATAACTTCATCTCCTTCAGCATTGACCAGTACATAAGCTCCATTAGGAAAAGCTTTCTTTACCACAAATGGGCCTTCCCATTTCAGCTCAAACTTCCCTTGTGTACAGCCATGAGTAATAATTGGTCTTCTTACTGCCAAGACCAATTCTCCCTTGACCAATGATCGCACCCGTATGGATTTATTAAAAGCTTGCTGCATACTTTGTCTGCAAATATCGAGACTTTGTTGTGCCTATAGCCTTTTTTCATCGAGTGAATCAAGCTCTTGATAACACATAGCAGCTTGTTCCTTATCCGTCATC